CGCCGTGCGGAAGATGAGGAGGAGGATGACGGCGCGGGCGATGGTGACGGCGGCGGTGACGGCGACGGCGATCGCAGCGGGAGCGCGCCGCTGGGCGTTCCGGGGCAGGTTTTCATTCATTGGTCCCTCCGTCCCTGCCCGGGAGACCGGCGCCGGGAGCGCAGCCCCGTCACCCGGACGGACGGACGGACGGACAAGGTCGCCGCCGTCCCGGAGGTGACTGTGGTCTGTGTCCCGCGACCCCGAGCCGCCCGCGTCGCGCCCGCGCGCCGTGACTCAGACCCGGGTGGTGGGCAGCGTGTGCGTGTGTGTGTGCGTGTGTCTGTGTCTGTGTGTCTGTGTGTGTGTGCGTGTGTGTGTGTGTGTCTGTCTGTCTGTGTGTGTGTGTGCGTGTGCGTGTGCGTGTGTTTGGTGTCCGTGTGCCCGTCCCGGGTCTGAAGTCAAGGTCTGGGCTCAGCTCAGCACTTTTATTTATGTATTTTTCCCCCAGCCGGCGCCCGACCACCCCTGAGCCACAGGCCCACGGTGGCTTTTTGCTGGTTAACCTGAGATAAGAATCTCACGGACCACCCAGGCTTTGAACCGCGATCCTCGGACCCCAGCCTCCCTTCCCGCCTGCAGCCTTCCTTCTCCTGAGCACCCGTGGATGGAGCGCTGGCTCCTCTTTGGGGTGTCGGGGCCATGGGGTGACTTGAAGGTTAAACACAGCATGTAGGCCCAGCGTCTGGTCATTCGGCCTCTAGGTGCTCGTGGAGCAGAGATCAGAGCTGGTACTAAGAGCCAACCCGGCGGGTGTTGACAGGCTGCTTGACTTGCGGTCACCTGAGGAGGAAGCCCATGCTTGTGAAGTCTTGCAAGAACTGGCCAGTTTACAAGGCTGTTACGTAATTAATAAGGCTGAAGAGCCGGTGGTTATTAACAGCTGCTTCTAACCTACACCTTAGTGCTCAGTAAAATGGGAAGTGCCCCACAGATACTGGGGGTTACTTGAGTCTTGCTATTTTGCCCAGGTTGGTGTTGAACTCTTGACCTCCTGGTTCTGCCTCTCAAATAACACACACACACACACACACACACAGGTTCCGCCTCTCAAATAACACACACACACACACACATACACACACGTGTGCCGGGCCTGAGACGTGAACTGCAGGCCTGGCGCTGTCCCTGAGCTTTTTCACTCAACTATGTGGCACTCCGCTACTTGATCCATGACTATCCCTTTGGCTTTTTGTTGTTGTTGTTGGCTGTGGGGCTTGAACTCTGGGTTTTCTGGTGGTTCATTGGAGATAAGAGGCTCATGGACTTTCCTGCCCAGGCTGGCTTTGAACCTGGATCCTCAAGTCTCAGCCTCCTGAGTGGCTGGGATGCCAGGCTTGAGCCAGGGGCGCCGGCTTTTTTTTTGTTTTGTAGTTAATCAAGAGGTAGGTCTCACAGCTGTTCCTGACTGGGCTGGCTTTCAACTTCAGTCCTCAAATCTCAGCCTCTTGAGCAGCTGGGATTCCAGGGTGGGCCGCTGGCACCCAGCTCAGAGTTGCCTTCATTTGAGGGGCTCTTCTTCAAACTTGCTAGTTTTTGTGAGGTGCTGGGGTGTGTACTCGGGGCCTCTGCCCTTGCTTGGCTTTTTCACTCAAGGTTGGCGCTCTGTCACTTGAGCCACAGCTCCACTTCTGGCTTTTTGGTGGTTCTTTGAAGACGAGGCTCAGACTTTCCTGCCCCGGCTGGCTTTGAACCTCGATCCTCAGATCTCAGCCCCCTGAGTGTCGGGGATTATAAGCGTGTGAGTCCCCAGCTTCTGCTTCCTGTCTAATTTTGACACCAGTGCTAATTTGGCCTCTGTCAGTGGCCGCAGCTGGTGTTTGTGGGTGCGTCCCGTACCCGCACTCTGCCTGGGGGAGGATGGCTCTCGCGCTGTCGTGCGGTGGTGTGAGGTCCAGGGATTTGTGTCGCTGGGAGGTGACTGGGCGTCGGGGCCCTGGCTCCTGCTTCGAGCCTTCGCAACACACTTGGTTTCCTCTTGCTCTGTGTCAGTACTGGGGCTCGAACTCGGGGCCTCGTGTTCCTGCCTTCTCCCTCGTGGGTGCCTGTGCACCCGGCAGCCACGCGTGCGGCGCTGCTCTTCCTCAGCCCCGGCTGGATGGCCGCTGCCCTGCTGTGCCTTCCCAGAGGCCTGGCAGCGCCCATCTGTGTCCCCGCCGTGGGCCCTGAGGAGCTGGGAGCCCCGGAGCCCCGGACCTGCAGGGAGCGCACTCCGGCCTCAGTGTCCGGCCCCAGGGAGTGCCAGAGAGGAGTCAGCCCCTGTTTTGGAAGCTTCTCCTGTCCTGGCCCTCTGGCCGAGCGGCGGAAGGCGAGGCCAAGTCTCCTTCCTTTGGATAATTGTGTCCGCATGTCTCTGCGCTTTTCGGGGGGAGGGGGGCAGTCCCGAGGCCTGAGCTGGGGCCTGGCGTGGGGCGCCGCCACCCCAGCCACACCCCCTTTCTGCTTTCTTTCTCAGCTAGGGACTAGCTTTCGGACTCAGACTGCAGCCCTCCCAAAATGCTGCCGGCCTAGCTGGGGTCCCAGCCACACCTGGCCTGTCGGTTGGGATGGGCAACTGAGACGTTGCTGCCCGGCTGGCCTCCACTGGCAATCCTCCTCATCTGCCTCTACCACGCGCCACATCTTTGCCTCTGTCCTGGAGGCCAGGTCTGAGGCAGGTGACCGCAGGAGCCAGGCGCGTGGCCGCCGAGCTCCCTTGGGGGCAGACACGGCAGAGGACGCGTGGAAGCCCAGGCTGGTCCTCTCTCCTCAGGGCTGGGGTTACAGGCATGCTCTCCACTCCGCTCTCCTCCTTCAGTCCTCCAGGAAGATGCGGCCTCGTGGGGGGCGCTGAGCTCCGGCCGGCAGGGAAGCATCCCTGCCAGCATCTCCGGCTCCTCCTCTCTGCGTCGTCTTCGCTTCTCCCAGAAGTGCACACGGCCCCGCGGCCCCCACCCCTGACCTCCCTCGGCAGCCCCGCGGCCCCCACCCCTGACCTCCCTCGGCGGCCCCGCGGCCCCCACCCCTGACCTCCCTCGGCGCCGCCACCGCTGCCGCCGCCCCGTGAAGTACTGTTTCGTGTTGTTGTAAGGGTGATGCTGGGGGGGGGGCTGTGGGTTCACCAGTCAGCTGATGAGCGCGTTTCTTTGTGGGCGGTGTCACCCCATCCCTTGCTCTCCCAGCCCCCCCACCCCCCATCCTTTCCACACAGTGTCCACTCAGTTCCTCTTGTGGTTTTGAGACAGAATCTGGCTTGCAGTCCAGACTGGCCTGGAACTCTCCACCCCTCCCCCCGCCCCGGCTGTCTCCTCTGCACCCCTTCTCTGGAACCTTGTGAACCCCACGCGCCTCCGCCCCTCTGGCTTCCTTGGGCAGGGTTCCGCCACCATGGGGGGCAAGGCCACTATTGTCGGGGGCTTCTTGGGGTTTGGGGGAGCGCTGCAGCCCTGCACAGAGACAGAGGTCTGCAGGGATGAAGGGGGGGCCAGGGACCCATGCTGCAGAGTGCCCCCTCCTGCTGGCACGGCCGGGGACGCGGCCTGTCCTCTGTCCTCTGGAATGCTAATGGAAACCGCCGTCCAGGGGCTGGACCTGCTCAGGCCCAGCGCCCGCCACCGCTGACCAGCCACCTCTCGAGCAATGGGGCCTGCACCCCATCTGCCCAACCCCACCCCCGTGTGTGTGCGTGCGTGTGTGTGCGTATGTGTGTGCGTGTGTGTTGCTCGTGGGGCTTGCACTCACTTGGCTTTTTCGCTCATACCTGGTGCTCTACCACTTGAGCCATGCCTCTCCTTCTGGCTTAAAAAAATTATTATTTTTTCTTTTTTTCTGTCAGTGGTGGGCTTGCACTCTGGGCCTGGGCGCTGTCCCTCAGCTCTTCAGCTCAAGGCGAACGCTCTACCACTTGAGCCACAGCGCCACTTCCGGTTTTCTAGTGGTTAATTGGAGATAGGAGTCTCACAGTCTTTCCTGCCCAGGCTGGCTTTGAACCGTGATCCTCAGAGCTCAGCCTCCCCAGTAGCTGGGATGACAGGCGTGCACCTCTGGCTCCCGGCTCATTATTTTGATTTTTATTGTGGTTTTTTTTTTTTTTTTTTGTCGGTTGTGGGGCTTGAACTCTGGGCCTGGGCGCTGTCCCTCAGCTCTTCAGCTCAAGGCCAGCGCTCTACCACTTGAGCTACAGCGCCACTTCCGGTTTTCTGGTGGTTTATTGGAGATAGGAGTCTCACGGTCTTTCTTGCCCGGGCTGGCTTTGAACCGAGATCCTCAGATCTCAGCCTCCTGAGTAGCTAGGATTACAGGCGTGAGCCACCAGCGCCCGGCTATTTTGATTTTTAATTCTGGTGCTGGTCGCTCTCACGCTCGGCCCCCACTGGAGCCCCCCCTAGCCTTGTGTGTGCACGGCACTTCGTGTTTGCCAGCCTCTCTGTGGGACCCTGGCCGGCCTGGACCTCCAAACCTCCTGCCCCGGCCTTCCAAGGGCTGGGATTATAGGCCGGCACTATCATGCACTGGTTATTTGGGGGGTGATCTGTTTTTCCTCCCGCCCAAGCATGGTCCTCAGGGCTGGGCTGGCTTCCTTTGTTGGCTGGGGAGAGGCGTGCGTCGGTGGAGGGGGGGGGTGTGGACCGG